CATTTTTCACTATTTGCACAATTCCATATAGTTCACTTATTACATATTTTATGCTTCGAATGCGTTCAAAATAAATGTGCACTGGAATATGCGATTCGCTACTTTGCTCACTCTTATTTAGGTAGATTTCAGAGATGGAAATAATGTCATGTCATAAAATGAAAGTTGGAAACGGCAAAGATTTATTAAAAGTAGTCTTTATCTTATGTACAATTATTGGGGTATAGTGAAGGTGTGTGGGGGCATGTTCTCTTCACTTTCACTTACCTACATGTATACCCCATATCCTTTCTGAAAGAATTAGCCAAGGTCTACAATTTTTACATTATCAGAAGCTTGCAACAGTTGCAGATAGATATGATCGAAATATTTTTGCTTTAAAAATAGATTTGTCTCTTTTTTTTGTTTGAAGCTTCGTTTTTTCCTTCTGATCAGAAAAAAACAATTAAAATAGAACTTTATCTATATATCTTTCCAGTGATGGATTACCCAATAATTTATGGAAAACATTTTATTATTTGAAAGCAATGAACATAGTCCTAAAAGGTAATTGAAGTTTGAATTCAAAATAGACTTTAGTAAATTAGAGAATTTGGTGAGCATGTTGTCATCGAACTGACAGTCAGCAAAGAAAATTTGAGAAACAAACTAGTGGTGTATGTTGATTTTAGATCAGGTAAACTTCTGTTTGATTAATTTTTCTTTTCTTGTTTCATATCTTTTCTCGAATAATAAGAACGCAAAATAAAGAATTTTCATAAATGCAATGATCGAATCGCTTTTGTTCATTTATTCATACGTATATACTGATATCTAATTCTATTAATTGATTTATATACTCACAATGTGAAGCGGTTTAGATAACTATGAAGGTGTTTTGGAAGAACATCAAAATGATCATTCGATCCAACTATGTCAAAGGTGGAATAAATAGTAAGTCATTCCCATTTTATCAACTCTTTGTCTATTAAATCGATTACTTTTTGTTGAATTTTTCTTTAATCTGTATGTTATTTAATTTTTCTTGTGAAATTTCTCCCTTAAAATTAATCAAATAGTAAACCCACTAAGACTTTGTCTCAAGAATTCAAATAAGCGTTAAGCAAGAGAATTTGTTTCGTCGAAAATTTCAAATTTTCTTCCTTAAAAAGCATAATAGCATAAAGGTATCAACCCATATTTTCCTATGAGCAAATGATCTTTCAATCATTTAAAACAAGTTTAGTCTAGATTTTCGAAAATAGTTTTTATACTGTCAAATTTTGTTGCAATTAGGTATCTAATCGAAATACAACGATCGATCGATTCAATAGTTATTTATAAAATATGAATTAGTACGCTAGTAAACTATTCGCTCAAACTTGAAGTTATTTCTTTTATAGTTATTCAAACCTCATATTTTTTGTGTCTTGATATAATCACTGATGATTTTCTTATAATTAGTCTTTTTCTCAAAAAAGTTTGATAATTAAAAGAAATATTTCGAATTAAAAACTATATAGAAGAAGAGAATCTTGTAGTCTGTTCTTATATGGATTGGTGTGAGCCTTGTTTAATACGGAATTTTGCGTTGAGACAGAGCAACTATTGTTTTTGCTATTCAGTTAAAATTAGGGAACTGAGATATAAAATGAATCAGTTGAGAATAATTATTTGTTATCTATTTTGAGATTCTATAGGTGAACAAACAAATAACATGATGGATAGAAATCCTAAAAGCAATGTGCGGAGCATGAGCGGTGGTTTTTCTTTTTCATTTAGTGATGAATATGTCTATCATCATCGTGATGGTTAATGGTCAAGTTGCTTGAATAAAATGATCACGGACATGAATATAAACTCGATATCTGCTGTTAAATAATAATTTTATTAACACATTCAGTACGATGTGGTCCACCGGTGGGCCACGCTATATTTTAATGAGAAACTGTGTAGAAAAGCATTTTCTTTTGCTTTTTTCTTAGGCAGAAGGTTAAACATAGTGTGCCATCTGTTCTGCCTTCAGTAATTTTTGTTTTTGAGTCCTTTGTTCTATAGCATGATGCTTCTTGTTAGAGCAATCAAGACAGAAAAATTTTATCACTGTCAGAACAGAAGGTTTTTACTTTTTTTGCTGCCACATAGCTCGCTTCTCTTACCTGTTGTGGCCTTCCATTCGCATAGCAACCAGTACAGCGTCTGCCGACATTGGGCGCAGATCCTTCCTTTTCGTTGAGCTTGCGATCAGCTAGTTTGCGCTTCGAATGGGTTGCTGATTTTTGTCTCGGATCAAATTTCAGCTTCTCGAATGGCATGCCATGCAATAAAGAGCTCACAAGACTTTTGCGAAACTGCAGAACAGTCACTTCGCTCCATGTGATGTTATAAACAGAAAAGCGAAAAGGACAGGCCAGCACAGATTGAAATGGCTAAGGAGTGCATTTGTCGAAAGACGCATGCACACGAAAATGAATCTGTAGAGCTACTCTCTAATAAAATCGAATCGTGCTGCATGTGTTAAAGAAATTTAATCAATTTCCACTTCTATCCATTTATAATTGATTATATGCGCTATTTTTGCAATATTTTCCTTTGATCTATATGATTTCATATTGTATGTTTATTTCAAATATTATTATTTAGACATAAGGATAAAAAGTTCATGTAAGACAAACTGTATTTATGTCAGATAAAAACAGTAGAAAAAAATTTAAAATAGCGTCGAAGTATGGAAATCCACTTGTTCCCACCTGTCAAACAACGCTCGTAATCAAGAGGGAAGAGTATACTTCATATAATAATGGCTCAATTTTTGTCATCGATCATATAAACTTGTGGTAGTTGTTGACCATCTCGGTAAAAACAACCATTTTTAAGTTCATTTTGAGGAGCATTGACGACATGTAAGATTGAATCAGCACCCAATTCGGCAGGACGAGCACCAGGTGCATTCCTATTTAAATCAGTAGCACAAAATCCTGGACATACAGAAAGGACAAGTACATTTTTAGATCCAGACCATTGACGGGCTTCGATTTGAGTAAGAGCAATAACTGCTGCCTTGGTGACACTATAAATTAAGTAAGATGACTTGGGATTGTATCCTAGTGCTTCGAAAGTATTTGTTTCAATAGCTGAAATGAAATCTTCTACAAGACAATCGAGTTGTTCGGTGGTCAATGTTGATGATAAGTATTTTTCTTGAAGGTCTTTTGAAGCTTCAGACAATAGAATAGAACCAGATATACTAGCCACATTGATCACACGACCATTCTCTCGTATGAAAGGAAATAAATGTTCATTCAGTGTTTTGATACCATAATAATTTGTAGTAAACATCGTTCGAGCTATATCGACAGTTAGTTCTAGTTCCCCAATAGCAGCATTGTTGATGATGATATCTAGTTGACCGCCATATTTACATTTGATTTTGTTGGTAGCATGAGTGATACTTTCTCGTAATGAGACATCCAAATGAAGAAGGTGAACATTCGGAGGAGAACCTAATCGAATCAGAGCATCTTCACCTCGTTTCAAATCACGACAGCCAAGAAGAATAAGATTATTATTGAGTGGTAATTCATTTACAAGCTTCTTCACAACTTCATAGCCAATACCCTTGTTGGCGCCAGTGACAAGAATCACACGTTGTTGGCTTGTTGATAACATGTTGAGAATAAAGAATGATAACGAAGAAATAAAGGAGAATATTTTGTGTCAGCATGAAAAAGTTTAGATAAGCTATGTGCGAACAGTCATGATAAGCAACATTTACATATTGCACATAAAAATGGATTCTAATCAACTCTAGTGGTTTGAATCAATCTAATTGAAATCAGTCTCTAACTCTTTTGTATTTTGGATGAGTTTTCATGTACAGATAATGTTTCGAATTCGAATAGGTTTTGCAGATAAGCATATATTTTTCTCTTTTTTTTTAAGTAATTCCTAAAGAAACTTATAAATTTTTTATACTATTAAGTGAAGCAATGTTTTCTGAAACAAATGATGTAAAAATCATTTAAGTATCTTGAAAATTAACTGATTTATTAACAGTATCCTGATGTAGATGTGATGTTGTGTTGTTCTATTGGTTGATGAAAATATCACTCAACAATCATTTACCTTCAGATTGTGGATGTGAAAGAATAGCTTCGATATAATTCTCATGTGATAATGTTCTACCAAGTTTAGAAATAATTGGAAACGTGAGACCATTTTTAGAAGCACCTAACCATACTTTTTTTTGCATATAATTGTTTGCTTTATACCATCTTGTTCATTTTGCAGCATAAACATGTTCTAATGAAAAATATTTTTGTCAGTGAATAGAATCCTCTTCAACCGATGAGATAAAAAAAAGCGAATTGATCATTTAACAAAAATAGGATTAGATCTGTAGCGTTGAAAACTCATTGCATAGAATTTCATTCATTTTGAAAATAAAAAAACGTAGCTATACAATAAGTTGTCCTTTGTAAATTGTTGAACTTTTCACGATGCATCTTGTGATATATTTTGTTGTTTTTAATACAATATATTAAGTGATTAAAAATTGAAATACAAAACGCATCCTTGTTTTTATAATTGGCATTGTTATTATGCTCAGAAATAGTGTACATCTAAGTAAAATCAAAAACACTTAAGTAATACCAAAATTACTGAGATTACGAAGAAAAAAAGTTTAGAAAGAAGTTAAATAAGATTTAATGTCATCAATTGGTCGAAATAGTTGATGTGATTATTTAAAACTACATTGTGATTCTCTTAGTCAACTATGAAATTTTTTTTCAGAGTTTTTATCTCACTAGGTCATAACCAAAAATAACATAATGCCATATCAAGAAAATGCGATAATTATCGAGTAATTGGAATATCTTTGGATTTCAGATAGTTATTAATATTTTCATGCAGATGAGGTCTGACATTAACGCGATGAAAGTTAACATCATGTGTAGTAAATCCTGGTTTTCGTTATCCAGTGTGCTGATAAAGAATTGTAAATGATGATAAATATCATAATAGTGATCAATAGGTTATCTTCATTTCACATGACAAATGATCATGAAACTAACTATGTCGAAAATAATATAGAATAATGTTTTCAAAGCAAAGATGCTTTCAATCATGATGTAATGGACAGATTATTCAAACCTCATGTTCTAGTAACGTTCGTTGACTTACCTTTCGCTAAATCTTCTTTATCTATTTTGACGCGCTCAACACATTTGGTATTAATTAGCAAGTTGATTACACAAAGATGAATAGCTTTTTTTCTTAAATTTACATACCCGCAAAGGATTCATTTAATAGTCTCATTACTAATATCAGTTTTCACTTTCATTTTGTCAACCTTCAGATGCAGATCATTACCAATAAGACAAGAAACTTCTTTGACATTTTTAGATGGCACCTCTCTTACACATTAAACAAAATATGGTTGATGTCCAGTCTCTTCCGAATTTTAACGAAACCATTTTGACTACTTGAAAACTGTATTATAAGATAGAGTTTCGTCGCTGTCAACAGAATTTCGGCCAAAATAGGACAATTTTCTCCTTATATTAAGTGTACTTTATTATATAAAAGTATTTGTTCAACAATGATCACGCCATGCACAAATATAGAAGATTATTAGTACTACAAACATATATGAATATGAATTCTATATCAAATTTTCTTAACTTTTTTTTAGTATATAAATCTCATTGATGTTGGTATATCCCAAGTACATTATGATAAAATAAAGATAAAATAGAATAGGATTGGTTCTATAATATATTGTATATAAAAAAGTGGATAACAAGATAAACTGCCATTTGTTGAATTTAGTGTATTAGTTATCAGTGTTGCTGTCATCGTAGTGTTTGTGACAACGTCAACCGTTATTGCATCAGTTCCAGTCATTGAACGAATCCAATCGAAATAGTAAACAACGCGAGTATAAACACCAGCAAAGTTTGCATGTGCACATCCATATCCATATGATGTAATACCAACTATAGCCCATTGTTGACTTGATGTGAACATCATCAGAGGACCACCAGAGTCACCATTACATGTATCTATACTCATAAAATATTATCTGATTAGTACCTACATTTCTTGACTAATATTTGTTTACCTTTACCACCGTTAGGATCACTTGCACAAAATTGCATTGCTGCATTACGAACTAGTCGATAACATGCAAAATTTTCATATCTAATACGTTGAAGTGTCACTTGTTGAAGCGTTTCAGATATAATACCATGTTCCGTCAAGTCTCCCCAGCCAATCGCTACAAGCTTGATATTGAAAAGAATAGAAATAATTATCAATATAAATTATTTGATAAGACAAGTATTGAATCCCAGATATTTACTCCTATGAACTTGCTCACCGTATAGTTGCTCTCCTATGGTAGGTGTTAGTGTAGCCGTCGAGGTGAGTATGGAGGCGTGTGGTACGTATATGAGTCTTTTGAGGATGATTGAGTGCGTAGGACTAGGGAAGAGTTTCACTCTTACAGTCACACTCTTTGAAACTGATTCGTAAATTTCTCACTGGTTTTGAAAAATTGTACTGACTTATAACTGCTCGAGCCTCTTCATAATTTCTATGAATTTTTGACATTTTAAAAACCATTTTGAGCTTGTCAATGAAGAAGGACTTATTCGATCACAAGCTGCGTTGGAGAGCGAGTGTCACCTGGACAACTATCCGGGGTGCAACTGTCGTGAATTCGATTTATTTATAAAAAAAAAACAAAAGTTCACATACTGTTGAGCTTATTGGTGGATAATCTTCTGTTGTCGAGATTGGTAAACATATTTTTGAAATACTTAGATCTGTCATATTGAATGGTGGTGAGACTTTAATTAAAGCAATATCATTTTCAAACATACTACCATTATACTGTGGATGTATAATAACAGTAGATGCCGATCGCGATTGTTCCCAACCAAACAACTGATTTGTTGCAGCAGATATTAATACTAGCGAAGGATTCTGCACATCTTCAACACAATGTGCTGCTGTGAGAATCCAAGAACTTGATAATATTGTACCACCACACATCCACGCTTGGTTAATGAAAAGAGATACAATCCAACCCCATGTATTTATAGATGCCGTTTCTCCTCCGACAATCTTTGTAACTAATGCTGGATTTGTCGAACATCCACACGCTGCAGTTGAGTTACACAAATATGTTATTTGAGCACTGGGTTGAATAAAAGCCAAAAGTGAGAAAAAAAAATATAAAAGCAACATTTCTGCAAACAAAAGGAAGAAAAATGACAGATGCTTAGATGGTACCGAACCATTCCATTTTGCTTTTCTGCTTTCTATTTTAAAATTTTTTATGCACACGTTAAATTATTTGAAGCATGCAAAGCAAAGGCATTGAGCTATAAAAATGTTATTGTATTTTTCTTAGCTTTTATGTTTTATTTTTTTTTTTAGTCAATTTTTTTCTGCATAAAATCTCTTAACATATTTATATCAATTCAAAGCACTCGATATTAACGATTGAAACTTTTCAACCACATGCAAAACTGTTGTGATATCATTAAATAGAAAAGTAGAATGTCTAAGTTTTTAGATTAAATTAATTTTTTTCTTAGATAGACTTACCATGTAGCAGATAATGAGATCATAAGAAGAATATTATGAAAATAACGAAATGAGGGGAAATGGATAAGAATTCATTTTACATAATAAGTTTTTACTATTCGAACTTTCATCCAACTAATTGTTAATCATAATATTGAGAAACTATCAACAAAGTATATTTTTTCTCTAGTGGTTGTTTTTCTCTTTATAATCATTAAAAAAATGAAAAAGACATTTAAATAATGAAAAACTTCGAAGGCAATGCTTGCTACAAGGTAATGTTTATAAAATGAACTTTTTTTTGTTCTTTCAATATGCGATATAATAACAAACGATATACTATAATTGATCAGATTGAAAATAGAATAGAAAAACGCATAGAATCGTTTATTTATGCAAAATTATCTACATTGAAATTACCCTAACAATAACATCAATAATTGTGTGAATTACATCTCATCTCAATTTGTAGCTCATCGAAATAGCTATCTGCGCAAGTTTACTGTAATAGATGTATTTCAAATATTGATCATCTAAAATATGTTACGATCGTCAACCAAATGCTTGACAAGGGAAGTTTCCAAGTTCATTGACCGATTTTGAGTCGAGATTATGTGTGCTAAGTAGAGCTTCATGAACTATAAATACACTAAAAAGAGTTTAGGCTTTCAGCTAATTGTTGCTGAGGTACTGGCACAATATGGTATTTTTAAAGTCAGTACTGTGAACTCCTTCAGGAACACCAGGAAAATTGATTTTCGAATTTTGACTTGAAACTTCGTTTAGAGATAGATTTTAATGAGATTATTTTATTGTGAAAGTTTCAGAGAGTGTGAATGGGGATATGTATGCATGTGGATGTAGGTGTCAGTATGTGCATGTGTATCGGCGTGAGTGATTGTGGATAAGGATAAAGAAGGACTTCCTCCGCCACAGTCGTATCCGCACCTACCCATCTACTTACATCCTCAGTTGCACCGAATGCCAGTGATGGATATGAATGTGGCTGTGTGTGAGGTTAGGAGCGTGGGTGAAAATGAAAAGTGTATGTTTACTATTACAATCGTATGCGGCTCTCACAGCTCACACTAATACTCATACCTTCAAGATAAAAATAATGTGCTACAGAGTGAGTTCAAATTCAATTTGAAAGATTCTCTCAACTCTTTGAAGCCTAGGAAAATATTAAGTCACTCTTCGTAGTTCAACATAGTTAGAACGAAAACTTTCGATAGTAATCATCTTGACGTTTGAGTTCATCCATTGTTACTGATCTTGAAGTTTTCCATCTGGTCAAACTCATTGAGGATTCAATCAATATCACAGGCTAACTGTGAAGTCGTTCACGTTGATCAATCTCTGTTTACGCATTCAGAAGAAACAATGAAGATGAAAAACAATACATTTCACCTATTTGCTTTCAATTCTCTTGAAAAAATCTTGGAGAAAATATGATTACAAAAATGACAGCAAAGAAGATCGAGGTAATAACAAAACATTGTTTGACATGTCATAGAAAAATACAACATCAACATTTTGTTTTGCTACGATGAATAAAGGTAAAGATGAAATTCTAATTGTAGCCTTGAACTTTTGTCTTGTTTTCTAAGATCGAAAATCACTGTTTTATGTTTCTTGTTCACATAAAAAAATTCACTTGTTTCTACAGAACTCCGTACATCATTTTCAGGCATGACTCAGGCAAATAAAGCAGAGGATCATTCCCATTTCTAGAATTATAGGAATACTATCGTTACAAAGGATGTGGAAATAACATCTCTTAGGGGTCCCATGGAAAGCTTTTTTCAGTTCGAATTGGTATGGAAAACTAGTTGTAGCAGTATGCTTTAATTTGAACGTTTTTCTTTTTTCAACAAAGACAAGCAGAGATCCATTTTCTATCTCAAAAAAACCGTTTCCGAATGGAGAAGAGCGAAAAGGCTTCTTGTTACTGGAAACCATTTTTCTGAATGCCGAGTCCACTCGCTAGAAAAGTCTGATAGACAAACAGATGAAATTAATAATAAAGACAGCCATTCGAAAATGCTTCAAACTTCTCATCGCTTACATTGGAAATGATCAAGAAATTTCTTGCACTTTTTTTTGTCAAAATTCTTTCTTTCCTTTCACGTAGAATCCATTCTACGCTTTAAAAATCTTCGAAAAAAAAAATATATTTTTTGAAAAGGAAAAAAAGAAATCATATTTTATTCATTATTATAATTCAATCAAACCCTTTGTTGCAACTTGTTTTACTTTGAACGTAATATAGAAATGGAGCAAGCAAGAAAATGGCTTTTATACAAAAGAAAAGAAAAAAAAAAGAAAAAGAAATGTTTACATTGTTAGCGCATTGATCGAGGTGAACCATAAGGCGATGAATATTGACTCGTATTGAGTGATGGTGGTACGTAGAAGTCAGTTCTATTCGAATTTGAATCCGGCGGACGATAGATACCTTGAAGCTTTATAATTGAGAGAAAAAAAAAGTAGAAAGAAAATATAGATCTTACAACATACTTCTTGATAAAAATAAGGTTGAGTTAAATGAGAATGAGGTTTTTGATAATTTAGAATTTTCCCTTGACCATAATCTTGATATGTCGTTCGATATGGGTCAAAAGGTCCAGAAGATCCCCACCAATCTAAATATTTCGATTTTTTTTTATTGCAATAAGACAAACAAGAAACAATCTTTTTACTTCATTTTAATGCATCTTACATTTATTTCTTGGACTATTTGTATATTGACTATTGATATTAGTAGTTCGTGGTGTTGATAGTTGTTCTGGATAGATATAATGTGTAACTATTGGTCGAGAAACAGTCGGTGGCATATAATAATTTTGATCATTTGTTCCGCTTTCGATAGATCGATTTGTTTGATTTCCTGTATAATATTGATTATCCATTCGAATAGAATTTGCAAATCAATTATTCAAATTAACAATATTGAAAAGATTCGGTAAAACACGAAATGATCTATGCAGAAGCAAAGACGCAATTAAAAATAAGCAATACTTTTTTGTTTCTGTAACACAATTATGTTGTGTTGTTCTTTTATAGTTGTTGCTCAGAAAAAATTGAATAAAAATGTTTTTTTTGCTCTCTCACCAAACACTTTGTATTAAAATGAAATAATAGAATAACAAAAGAAAAAAATGAAAACTACTTGTTTTCTTTAGCCTAAAGAAAACAAAATTAAACGGTCGTCAAATCAACGACATCTATTGAATAATCTCGAACAATTACCCCAAAACAACATAAATTAATTAGATATTTTTAAAGTAAAGGAAAAGTTTAGCTCACTCTTCGTATTTTAGATTCGTCGTCAAGGATGATTAACTGAAGAAATTTAAATAATGATTTTGATAGTTTTCAAATCGCTCTACAAAACGGAGATGCAAGTGATTTTTTTAGAAGAATTATTATGAGTGCCAGAATTCGAGATACTCGGATGTATTTTGAATAACTTTCAATAGGAACAATATGAAGACCTGGAGTTTTCACCTATTGATAATCAAAACTTAGACGCATATTTTCATAAGCAAAGTCCTTTCTGAGAAAAAAATCTCGAGAACAGTTTTTCATAGAATCTTTGTAAAATCGTACTTGATTGCTAAAAAACTGCCATAAGAGTCTACTGGTTTTTTTGCATGAGTAGATTGCGCAAAGAGTCTCCTATAAAACTAGATCTATACAAATGTTTTATCTTGCAAAACGTAGATGAATCAGGCAGTTTCTCCGAAGTCATAGAACTCCATTTTCTTTAAAACAAAATATTAAAAAAATAATTTTTCTTGTGTTACAAAGAGAGATAATATAACCCTACAATCGTGTACTTTAGGCAAATTGTAACAATATTATGAGTAAGGGTTGTTCTTTGTAGCATATATTATAATTTATCATTTCAGATCTAATAGTTTTTTTCTTTTTTGACAATGTTGAAAGAATTTTCGTTACAATATAAGACAGTGGCACTTTTTTGTTGTCGCTTTCATTGAAAAAGAAAAGCATGGTTATCCATCTCTCTTAATAATGTTACTGATCGTGTCGAAGCAATACTTCGTATTTCGCGAATATAGTCTATCGGTCAAAGCATGAAATGAAAGAATGAAAGGAATACAAAGAAGAATTTGTAAGATTTACTCGTTCGTCTTACGCTACGTTATTATCAACGCTTTTCTCGCCAGTCAGCCATTTAACTCGTTCAAAAAAAAGCAATTAACAAATTTTGGACAATTTACGATTATAGATTAACGTTTCAATTCTTATTAAAAGATAAAATCTATTTCACTGTTGAAAATCAAAAGTATAAGGAAAGAATAAAAGGAAAGGTCTTCATGGATTCGTTGACCGTTCTAGCACAACGTGCCACGGACTTTAGAAAATCAGTCAGGTACGATCAAGTAATTTCATATTATATTATCATGAAAAGACTTGATGATGGAAAAATGAAGAAAAAAACAATTGTATTGCTTGATGATATAAGGTATGATCATTTTCGAAACAGTAAAAAAGAAGGTGATGACTAAGATTTTATCTTCAAAATTCTTATAAAATGAACTTTTTTCTGATTTTTATAGAACAGCGTTTAGTGATTAACCGTCTCATTGGTCTAAACAGTTTTCATCTTTGTGCATTGGATATTTTCAAGTATGATGAAGTGCATTTTATGGACAGCAATCGTTTTGTCGAATGATTGGACAATGTAGCCAGTACTCTACGATCTGAACATGGAAAAACGACTAAAATTGTTATTAGCATAGACGATGCCGTATGACATAAGAAGCTAACACAAAAATCCGAACCACCTAAACATGCATGAAAAAAAAACAATTATTTGTTGATTGGTTAACTTCCTGAAAAATCAAATTCGAATCTTACATGACAAAATGTAGAGTTAATTCAATTAAGTTTTACTCATTTGCATTTACCATCAAGAGAATTCGTAGTTGATAAAATAGTGAGTAAACATGATATTGAAATTGTTAGAATACCAGCGAAGCATTGTGTCTTGAACCCTATTGAACTTAATGGGGCGGGCTTAAAGAATTATATTTGATAACAGAATGTACGGTTCACTTTGGACGATATTGTACAATTTTATAATGAATGCCCTATCAAAATATGATCCTGAACATGCTTCTGGCTATTTTGCACATATCTATAAGCACGAAGAATTATTTACGGCTGCAGACAAAAACGCTAAAGAATTGGAAAATGACCTTATCGATAGTGACGACAATATTGGCGAGCATACATTAAATAATAGTAATGATGATGATGAAACTAATGTTTGAGCTGATTTTCTTTTAAGTAGAACATTATTTTCTTCATATATTGTATTGTATTGTATTCAAGCGAGAAGAGTGCATAAGTAACGTGACATAAACATCGCTAACCCTCTACTGGAAGGATATAATCTCATTGAACATATTATATTCAAGTAGAGAAATGTGAGAACTAACGTGCTCACATATATATAAAAGAAGGAAATTAATAGAATTGTCTATGGCTATATATGTATGAAGCATCGAATCAATCTCGAATGTGGGATCCACTAATGTACTTGGAATGAAATTCATTCTGAACAGCCGTTATTTATCGTATATGCAGTATATCGTTGACAGAAATGATTTATGACGTTAGTTTCTTTTGAAAAACTAAAATTACCGACTTGATTTACCGATATCTTTCATATGTATTTCTTCTCAGACAAGTTCGACTGTATTATTGTTACACTTAGCGTTTGCGTGAAACTCAGCTTTCGGAAAAAATACAACATACCGATTTATATATCGTCTGATTTGATATATTTCAGTTACAGTTTTTTCTTGATCGTTCCACTCAAACTAACTGTCACTCCTTATATCGTATTCAAGAATGATTAGCATTTCTGCCATAACTCTAAATCACAAGATCTCGAACTAGAAACTAATGATTTGTCTGTTCGCAAAAACAATTCTTATTGACCATTAATGGAGTCAGATCTCTACTAATGAATGTAACCGATCTCTAGATATCACCGGAGTCCATAGTTTGCATGGTGCTTTGTTTCTTAATTGTTTTTACTACTTATTGCATCATCGTATATCAGAGTGTGTTTTCCTTATATATATATGCCACTAATAGCTTTTTCTGTGTGATAAATGACAGCAAATGCCTTGTGATGGTCTGCCCATATGTACAATTAAAACAGAAAAAAATAATAAATTATATAAAAAACAACATTAAAAAGTAATTCATTGACTTGTCTATTGCTCTTGATACGGTATTATTCAAATTAAATCATGATCTGATCCAGCTGAAACCATTTAATCTTTACTCTTAATGGGTCTTCGTAATACATTTTTCCAGAAGTATTTACATGACAGGGTGTGGCTGTGAACGTAGGCATGAGTGTGGATATGGGGGGTCTTCTCTTGAGCCATAGCGTCACATCCTAGCTGACATTAAAATTCGTTTCAATGTAGCTTATTGTTTGACAGTTATACGTATGACTGAAACCGTGTAGAAAGAACGAGCTAAGTCGGCCAAGTTCAGACGTAAATTTTTTCGTGAGGATTATGAACGACTATGCACAAGTGTAGGCGTAATTGAATTATCAGAATCGAAGAAAAAAGTTTTATCCTACAAAAAAATGTGATAGTAACGCATCGATTTATCTTTCAGGGAAAATATCAAAAATAGAGATTAGCTATTATGAAATGCTCTTCTATAACTGTCTGAAGTTTTGGCAGTCGTGTATTCAAGTGATCAAAATTTCAATTTATTGAAGGCTTCATCATACTATTGATAAAGCTAGCATAGTCGAAGTACTCTGTTGTCATTCGCTGAGAACCAACAACGACATTTCATTTTATACAACATTCGAAGATTCAATTCTTTTTAATTCTTTTATTATTGTTGAAAAATATAACTGTCAAGAAAATAAAAATTTTCTGCTACATTTGACACTTACGATATATTCTTTTTTCGTTAGTCGTCAAAAGACTTTAGTCTTTCTTGTTTCTATGACTAAATTTCAACTTTCACAAGCCTCTTGTGCAATTGAATTTCATACTTGGGCCAATCTGTGTTGTAGAATTCATTTTTCTTTTATCTATTTACTCGTTTCTGCACGATAACAGATAAGTCTGATATGAAAATGGAGTGTCATAGATGCTTTCTCTCTCTTGTTAACTGTGTATATATTTTATCGACCTCGAGGCGCAATTCACTTATCTAAGTTAGCCAACAAACTTTACAAAAAAAAAGATGAGGTCTGTAGGAGTTAATTCATTAAGATGAATATCTCATGTTTTCGGAATTTAGCTACGGCGCTGAGATTATAATAAGGCTTCATGAGATCAATAGTGTCGCATTTTATTCGTCTGAATCATATAGCATAGAGTAAATAGGAAATTTATAAATTCTTCAAATATAGTTATTCGATAGAATCGTTAACCATGTCTACATTTTTTTCAAATTTCATTGTGAATTGTTTTAACGATGACTAATCTTTGTGAAAGTTTCTTCCATGATCAATCAAAGAAATAATATAGACTGCAGTGAGAAATCAAAGAATTCGATATTGTTCTTCAGATATGCCTTATGTGACTTTGCCGGTATCGCACCAAAGTGTTAAGTTATACTATGAGGTACATGGCTCGGGTCAAATTAAAGTATTGTTTATTATGGGTTTGAGAACCGAAGGTCAAGCTTGGAAATATCAGGTAAGAAAGAAAATATGTTACTCATGTAATATGTGACTTCATTCTTCCTTCGTAGACTGATTTCTTTCGTGAACAATCCAACTATCAGGTAAGGAAAATAGATGCGAATTGATAAATCAATTTGAGTAGTGTGTGAGTTATGACAATCGTGGCTGTGGTCGATCGTCAACGCCGTTGACACTCGAATATACAACAGTTCAAATGGCTAAAGACGCCTTGGGATTGATTGATCATCTGGGTTGGGCTCAGTGTCACGTAGTGGGTGTCTCTATGGGTGGAATGATTGCATTAGAATTGGCTCTATTAGCAAATCGTAGAATTCTTTCACTCACCCTCATGGCCACACATGCTGGTGGTTTAATGGGTCAAGCGCCATTCATTGGCATGCGCCACATTATTCGAACGTTTACAATACGTGACGACCATCAACTTGTGGAAAATGCTCTTGCCATGCTTTATAGTCGAAAGACACTAAGCGATTCTGAGAAACGACAGGTCAGTTAACACCCAAGCAAACTGAACTTATTCATAGCAAAGTCATTCTTGAAAATGTTCTTTATTCTTTTTGTCACCTCTTTTCGATAATATTTAATCTTTTAGTATTTCTACGATTATTATCGTGAAAGATTCAAGACTCGTGTTCCTCTATCGCTAGTCGGCAATTTTGGTCAAATGTTTGCTGTTCAACGACACTACATAAGCTACGCTGATCTATTAAAAATTCGATATTCAAATTTTCCTTGCTTGGTTATGGTGGGTACTGAAGACCGACTTGTGCGCGAGACTAATTCCTATATGCTTCAACGAGTATTTTCTCCTTCTTATTTCAAACAAGTGCCATTTCAGATCCTGTTTTAGACACTTGACTGTCGACTCGTCAAACTCGAACATGCAGGGCACGACTTAGGAGGTGAATGTACTCAGCAAGTCAATCAAGAATTATTAGGTGAGTAGAAAAAGAGTTCGATGATATTTGTTCACGGGATCTGTTTTCACTATCAAATAAATATTCATTGTTTGTATAGCATTTTTCGAATCGGTCGAGTTGAAAGATCATCCATCACACGTATCAAGCGAATATACGACAGAAGTGCGAGCTCTGGAACTTTGCTGCCAACATCGCACTCATTGTTTTGTTTACAATCTTGTTGGTTTCCTTAAGGTATGCTAAAGGAACAAGGTTGTGCTCTCATTAACTTTTACTATGAAGGGTCTACTTCTCGGTTTGATTCTTTACTGTGCGTTAACTAGTGGGTTGACGAAGAATGAACTGATGAATATTCATCTATGCACTCGCTGTATGGTGCTCATCGGCTGTTTGAAGTACGAACAAACGAGGTATCTTTTCATTTTTTTACTCGTCCTATTTCTCATAGAGGTTTGCATCGATCGATATTATGTGTTTTCAATGCATTTCGAGCGCGACGTTTTGTCCGGAAACATCAGTTATTGCTCGAGCAAGCGGCTAATCACGGTGGCATTGGAATCACTTTACCTAGCCGACACAAGAATGGCATACCAAATGGATGCGGTTTCGAACTACCTGTCTTGCCACTTATATTCACTGTCTGTCTCATTAGCCTTGCCTGGTGGACAAGACAATATGATTAACAAGCCGAATCTTTTGAGACTTATATGAATATGTTTAGAACTAATTTATTTCAAACAATGTTGTCTCGAGTGAATTGATTGAAACTATCATTTGAGTATGTGTCCTACTGGAATCCATAGTCATTCCACAATGGGAATGTCCGTTAAAAAAAAAAGTTTTTTTTTGTAATTTAATATTCGATGATTTCATACAGTTACGTACCATGAAATAAGCAAAGGTATTTGTATTCATTGAATAACTTGAGCCTTTTTTTTGAAGATTTGTACAGTGAATACTTTCGAAACTGTCAGTCTGAATGAATTGAAACTCAATGTAATGTTAACAAAAGAAAATGAATAAGATGAATGTTTGTTAACAGATGAACTTTGAATAGATTAAGCATGATGATATAGTGGACTAGGTGTTTATGTTCGATTGATTCGTTAATGAATAATAATGAATGACTGATAAGTTATTGATACAAAAAATACGAAGAGAACATTACAAAACATTAACTTACAATTATCATCAGGACACAGTAATTACGAAGTATAGATTTTGTCTGTCTTTTTCTGTACAGAAACATATGATGGAACAAATACAAAAAATATGAATATGAACTGTTTTCTGTACATAGAAAATTATTTTGTGAAGTACATTATATTTTCATATTATTTACAAATTTTCTAATGCAATAATTCAGATAAAACGTGGACTGACAATGGAATCGTTTGTTATGCCAGTTGATTTTATTAACTATATTCGGATTAAACTATCGCCCTAAACGAGAAACTATCGAATTGCTTTCTATATAATTTCTATCACTCAGAAGATCTTCCACAAAATCATTATTTTGACCGAAATCACCATTTTGGTGAGTTCGATCTTCTAAAGTATGCGCTCAATAGAAGTCGAGCCCATGTAGCTTTACAGGACACACTGAGCACTACGTAGTTATGCAAGAACTAATCTGGAGGTCTTGTAGAACAGTTTGTAGAGTCTTATTGAAAAATGTCAAAAAATGCCTGCCTTGTCATGTAGCTGCTAGTACAATCAACTCATCAACAGTTCGCTCGTTTCAACTCATTTTTCTCTGATAAGTACATCAACTTGAGATGAATGTACAGTAAAAAATTGCAAGCCAAATCAATGTATTTTTGATGAGATATGAATATCACAACAAATATCTTTTCTTGACGATAAGTGCCCTCAGATAAATTTTAACATTTCGAGAGTGAAACAATATTTTTTCAAATGTCTTGCTTCAAAATTCTTAAAATTATTCTCTCTACAACATATATTAAATTGAGCAAAGTCTGATGATCACGATTGAGTAGCTTCTCTGGAAGAATCATTCATGACTTTTTCTGTGAACTTACTTTTATATACCTAAATTGTCAATATCTGAAAATTTGCATAACTCAATTCAGGCTCGCCATTAGCAGTTCGTATTTTTAATTTGATAGTTTCTCGTTGAGGGTGACAGTTTAATTCGAATATAGTTAATCAAATCAACTGACATGACAAACAGTTCCATTATAAGAATATTGTTAAATCATTTCTTTAGATTTAAAAAAAAAGAATCATATAAATACATGCTAATGATAAATTTTTCTCCAGATTAAAAAAAATATTAATATTCAAGATTAATATATATATATATATTAGTATAAGAAAAAATAAAATCTACCACCATAAATAAAGTTTTCGATTACTAAATTTTATCGTAAAGTCATCAAGAAGTTTTTCTATTTCAATCAAAATTCTCAATTTTCCTATCAAATCTCTACGTTGTTTTGAAATACATAATGAAGATAAATGACGACTATTATTATTAAATTTCGATAATAAAAATTTTGCTATTGTTTCCAAGTCTTTTTGAAATAAATTAATTGTAAGATATTCTAATCGAGGAGAAAGAGCAACAAGTAATTGAATTTTTTCTAATGTACTTTCTTTAGTAATTATGACATTTTAAATAGTATTTGTAATGGATACAATTTGAAATATTTTATTTTGTTGAATTGAAGTAGAATCTGCTCGATAAAATAATATAGAATTAAGTAGTTCGATTACTTGATCGAAAGGAAAACGATGACAATCAAGGGATAATGTAGAAAGTTGTTTCAAAGGAATAATACGATTAAGACCTCTTACAATTGAATCGCAGGATACATCAAATGTATCGAAGAGAGTAAGTTCAGTAACATTTCGAAAATTACCCACGAATTTTTCCATTACATTTGTACTATGAATACAAACATGATGAACTGGATTGTCTTTAGTGTCAAGATCATATGATCCAATTTTTTTTTGCTTAAATCTTCACATAAAATGTAACATTTTTTTCTGTAAAGTAAAATTACATAGATATATAGTTGTTATAAATAAACAAGTTTAATTCTACCTATATGGATTTGTCGAATAGAAAGTAGCAATATTCGAATATCTGATTCGATAATACTGATTTTCAAAGAACCATTTGTCGTTCTATCCAAAATAATGAATTGAACATATTTATTTGAGCTTCATATACTTGTCGATCATCATTGTAAAACCATGTTCGATATTGATGTTCAAAATCAAAGATACATAGGTTTAACATATGAGTTGAAATTAATCGCTCCCAACGATTGGCATTCAAATATTCCATATTAGAAGTGAAATATGTCAGACAACTTACTTGAATACGTAAAATTTGAACTTTATGAAAAAAATCATTGATGATTGATTCAAAATCGTCAAAACTGACAGAATACAATTTAAGAGACACATGTGTCAAATAATTTAAAGTAATTATGTCCATGGATGTTCGACTCGCTCAATATCCATATAAATGGCCCAATGATAAACGACGTAGTAGGGGAACATATGATAATACACTATCAAATTGATTAAGGGAAACTTTATTATTGATGATGAGATATTCGATAAGACTGAATTCATTCGTAGAAATAGACAAAGGTCTTAGATTTCGTAATGTTTCAAAGTGCATTTGACAATATTTCAGTGCAGATAAACGAAATATTTTCTGATAAATATCATTTTGATTTTTTTCATATAATCAATTGATATAATAATTAGTGAAGATAAAACAGGTAAAGAAGATAAATGATTTATAATTTCTTCAATATAATTATATTCAATATTATTTATAGTTAATGACTCAAGTCGAGTTAAATTTGTCATTATTGGAAATAGTAATAAACTTATATCAGCAGCAAATGGATTGAATAGTCTTAATGATTTAATTTGATTAGTGTGAGGTATGATAAAATGTGTCAAATAACGTCGAAATCTATATTTTGATATAGATGAAATATTGATTTTAATTGGAAGATTTGAATTAACAAGAAGATTTTGAAATCGTTTATTGAGATCATGAAAAGCTTCAAACACATGATAAGAATCAAGAAATTCAAATATTTTGTAGAAAAGTTCATTAGACAGATCTTCAAAAGCAGTAATGAACATTTTTGTTAAACTAAAAAAAAATAAGAGATAATTACTAAAAACAAAAACGTTGTTTTTTGTACACTAACCAGTACATTTCGATCTGTACTACTATAAAAAACAAAAAAAGAATATCATCACAAAAAATTGACTATAACTTTTACTACTTTTTTTTATTCTTTTACTATCATGATAATCATTATCAATATTATTTTGTGATCGTTTAATTTGTTCCATATATATATTAGTTGACAAAAATCTAAAATAACGAATAAAGTATAATTTAAATCGAACATTCAACTAAAAAAAGAAAATATGCAATAGCGAAAGAAGACTGCATACACATATCATAACGCATCATTTTTCCAACGTTGATGCACGTGATAGGAGCAAAACCAAGTAAAAGATTTAAAAAAATTGACAATCAAAGGAAGAGAAGAACTACAAAATGTATGAGTCATTTTGAACCAAAATTACTAAGAGGCCAAGCTTTCGATCATAAAAAAGAAAACTTATTTATATCACATATACTAGGCAGTGATAGTCAAAGGCGTAGCATATCATCAATCTCTGGATAGTGTAGTTTGTATCTAAAGTACATCGATGTATCTTGTATACGTTTTCGTGACTGTAGCAAAATTGATCTGTTTTTTGGTCGAATTTTATTTTCGCTTTTTTGTCTGATTGGACTGATTTGAAGAATAAATCAGATTGCATTATTATTTGTTTGAATTTCTTTAAGATAAAAAGTGCAAAACATTATATAAATATGCTGTGTTATGCAGATCGGTACAGTCAGACGAAAAGTAATAATCAAATTCGACAAGGAAGCAATAATTTCTGTTGCAGTCTAAATAGGAGCATACGAGATACATTGGCATGTTTTCGAAACGAACTATCCTACCAAGAGACTGATAATATGCTATACATCTTACTATCACTACCTAGTATATGTGGTATAAATAAGAGATTTCATTATTCATGTATAGAGACGAAATCTAAAAAAAAACTTTGTTTCCTTATTTTTAACCCATTCTGTACATATATTGCGTTATTAATTTCGTTTTTCGAAATGAAACAATCTTAAATGACAGATTTAAATCATTTTAAAGTATTGAATGATTATTATTTAGAAAAAGCTAACATAAAATCACCTTATTTTCTTAAATAGGTCGTATGATCTTATCATCCCAACTTCGACTGTTTCCGTATGATTTACTATCCGTCTCAGAACAAGTTTTTCAAGCGTATTTTAGCTTTCTTATTAAGAATGATATTTGAATTCACCATTTGATAATATTTTTTTTTCTTCAATGATTGTTTACTTTATATGCATATACGTGTTTTTTTTACTTGCTAATCAATACTTTCAAAAGTCACAAGAAAATGAAGTATTTTTATCTATCAGAATCGAATTTTTTTATAGCACAAATCAGCAAAATTGTCCTAAATATATTGAAAGATCATATACTGGCTTTCTATAAATCGTAAATATTATCATTTCAATAATGTTGTGACAAGCTGAATCTGTGAGAGATGAAAATGTAGAACGATAGTATAAATATCTTTAGATGCATATTTTGTAATGAATCCACTCATTAGTATGCAATTGATATCATAAGCCGTAGACAATGTTTAGAGTCTTACAGAAATTTTCAATCTGATGGCTGCTATACTGAACACAAAAGATTCCTTAGTATTTACGCAACTTCGACCTCTAAAATCGTCAAGTTTAGCATCTCAGACCAATGTGTTCGGTCAAGAATTTCTTGAAACACTTCAATAGATAAAGGACTATAACTGATTTAACAAATGAGTCATAGTTCAAAAATCCAAATTTCTTTAACATATTAAATTAGCTTGTTTATATTGATTAATATTTCAATTGAAAATAAACTCCCAATCTTGTACAATTCAATTATTAAACATTTTAAAAGATATACATTTTGTTTTTGTCGTGAATCTTTTCTTGCCTTTCTAATATTGGCTGTTATGTTTCTAGACGATGTTCTTTGAACGATTCTTGCGAACAATTATCAATTATTCTTAGATACGATTAAAACACAACATTAGTAAACATATACTTTTATTTTTCCTAAAACTATAATTGAAAAGTTTTGTCTTTCATTACATCTATTGTTTTGTATATAGTGCCGTACATCATTATTTCTTTTTTTTTCCGATGGGCTTGAATTTCTTTATGAATTAATATGTTCTTCTTAGATATCAATAAAATTAAATTTCAAAATATTTATTTTTAAAATAAAATTTTTCCATTAATTGTCATTAATGAAATCATTTTAGTTATTTACTGGAAGAGTTAAATATAGAAATTGATATAAACTAATAAGTCATTGTTCAAGAAATTGAAATGATTGAGCAATGCGCATATTGAATAAAAGGACAATTAAAACGATTTCATTTTTTTTTCTTGCCTTCGACAATATGAAGTATCAGATGAATAAGATAATGAAAAAACTATGCAAGGTAGATTTTCATACTTCATTTTCTTCAGTAATAAAAAGAGAGAAGAATTGTCCTTGAACGTGCATATGAGGTGCAATATGTCAACTTAATCGATTGCTAACAATCAGAAGAGTTGTATGATTATTGGAGAAAGATTGCATAGATCGCTCAGAGTTTTCATTAGTTGAGAATATCTTCAAATAGTCGATCAATGTACAAAGCGACCGTTGAACTTGCACTTCTTTTTGAGATATGCTGTTGAAATGAGCCTCAAGTCAAACAAGATAGAACGGTTCTAGATTATTGTCTCTGTTATAGGTAATATAAGAATAGCTGTTTGAATCAATACAGTTGTCTTGTATCATCTTGTGCATGCCAGCTAGTGGTAATCATGAATAAAAATATTTGCTTAAAACGCATAAAGAACAGTTAGTCTATTTCTTTCTACATTTATGTCGTTCTATTGAATTCACTAAAACAATCACAATAGTTGTTCATTAGATAAGTGTTTTCTGTGTCAAACGAGGCAAGCATATATCCCTTCAGTTGACAGATTGCTAACAATAACAACTGTCGAGTAGAGCACAGAAAAGAAAAGAATAGATGCATTATTTATTATAGTTTTGTATCAAGCTATTCCGAATAGAGCACTGCTTGTCCTCCTGACAAGTATCGGCCGAAAAAAGGAGAACCAGTAAAAAAATCAGTCAGATAGATCATCGTCTGCTCTTTCTAATAAAGAGAAGTATCGAACAACTTCATGATAGCATATGATTACTAGTGCATGTCACCTCTTCATTTTCTTGCGCGAGTTTTCTACAGTCATTTATGAAAATTCATGCTTTCGTTAGATGTTGAAATCAAAGTACATTGAGTCTTATCATAATTTCACTGACTCGTTTCGATATCTAAATGTCACCATTCCTTTTTGACAATATTTATGTCATCACTATACCATTACTGTCTTCCGTCTCTCACTTTGCAGTGAAAAAGAACAACACGGTGTGCTTACTGCATTTCCTCAATAACTGATTGATTTGATTACTTTTGGCGTTCTTTTTTATTGCCTACCTTGTCTTCCGCTGTATCATATTTATTGTCGGTTCAGTAATTCTTTAAAATATATATCGTATATTGAGTAGTCTTTCCTTCTCTCAATACTCTTTTTCTTTTTGATTTTTCGATTGCCATTTCTTTTGATGTTGGCAACGCTCTTTCTTTCTTCCATTGCTATCAGTGGAAGTGCACGTTCTGTGTGAAACATACGTAATTGGTGACATGCGTATGGAAATGGTAGGGGGTGTTTCCACGCAGCTCCGCCCACTTTTTACAGAACATTCTCCCGGCAAGATTTAAGCATGCTAGCTTTGTAGCCCTCGTCGAGTTGTGTAGAAAACGGTATTCAGTTATGGCTCAAATTATGCGCTAACAGCAGCAGAGTAGGTCCAAAAGTCGATTTTATGAAAAAATGGCCTCCGAAATCCGTCTGTTTCATTCCTCATGGACGTTCCTTGAAATTTTTGATTTCACCATTGGATAGAGCATAAAAAGTTGTCTATATAAAATAATTTTTAGAATTATGTCTTTAGAATTGATTGTTTGGGAGCATTTGCAAATTTGGGAAAAATGGCACTTTATGCTTAAATTGAATTGATTATAAAATTTATACATTCAGTTAGAGACCTCAATATATTATAATCAAAATGAAGCTTGTACTATTCTTATTCAAATGCATTATGGCAAGTTTCTTCAAAGCATTCTAAACTCTAGAAAAAGAGGTCTAAAGAGGATGGGGGTCCGAAAAATCGTCATGTTGGGAACCAGTTTTCTCAAAAACTACACGTTAGAATTTCGTGAAACTTTTTTTCTGAATAGACCTAAGTGTACACTACTAGTGATTAAAATATTAGACTTCCCATTTCAGAATTGTAGGAGATAGAGCTCTTTCAAGTTAGCCCAAATTTTGGTGTTTTTCAAGAAATCCCTGTGGGGGACCCCAGGTAGTCGTCAAAATCGTATTCTCGAATCTTGACCTGAAAGTTTGCGTATACAGAGGTCTCAACTAGACTAGCTTTTACAAAAGAATTTAGAAGGTTTGAATGACGTCTCGTCAAGATATGAAGGTTTATCTTTAGAAAAGGACTTCTGTGGTAGAAGGTCCGTATCTTGGAAACACTTTCTTCAAACTTCTGAATTCTTCTGTAAAAGTTAGTCTAGTTGAGGCCTCTGTATACACAAAGTTTCGAGTCAAAATTCGAAAATACGATTTTTACAACTACCTGAGGTCCCCCACAGGGATTTCTTGAAAAACACCAAAATTTGGGCTAACTTGAAAGAGCTCTATCTCCTACAATTCTGAAATGGGAAGTCTAATATTTTAATCACTAGTAGTGTACACTTAGGTCTATTCAGAAAAAAAGTTTCACGAAATTCTAACGTGTAGTTTTTGAGAAAACTGGTTCCCAACATGACGATTTTTCGGACCCCCATCCTCTTTAGACCTCTTTTTCTAGAGTTTAGAATGCTTTGAAGAAACTTGCCATAATGCATTTGAATAAGAATAGTACAAGCTTCATTTTGATTATAATATATTGAGGTCTCTAACTGAATGTATAAATTTTATAATCAATTCAATTTAAGCATAAAGTGCCATTTTTCCCAAATTTGCAAATGCTCCCAAACAATCAATTCTAAAGACATAATTCTAAAAATTATTTTATATAGACAACTTTTTATGCTCTATCCAATGGTGAAATCAAAAATTTCAAGGAACGTCCATGAGGAATGAAACAGACGGATTTCGGAGGCCATTTTTTCATAAAATCGACTTTTGGACCTACTCTGCTGCTGTTAGCGCATAATTTGAGCCATAACTGAATACCGTTTTCTACACAACTCGACGAGGGCTACAAAGCTAGCATGCTTAAATCTTGCCGGGAGAATGTTCTGTAAAAAGTGGGAGGAGCTGCGTGGAAGCACCCTAGGGAGTATGTTTTTTTTTCTCACACTTTCTTGGCATAACCATTCCAAAGGTCCTTTCTTTTTTATTTTGCATTCTCATTTATCATACTTCTAACCTAAAATAATATCTATTATTCTATTTCTTTTTCTAGAATAAAAACAAGGATTTTTAATGATTAGTTACGATCTTCTCACGCTCTTCTAAACACTTCTTACGCAATAATATCGATCTGACATGCTCAGATATGAATGGAATAAGTGTAGCAACATGGTTTTTTGGAACCACTGATCACTGACCTATTGTGCTCACATGTCAAAGTATTGGCTTTGATGCGAGTAAATATTTTCCTCATGTTCGTTGGAATATATTCTGCATACTCGATTTCTTGCGACAGTACAAAGTAGAGTAATCATTTGAAAGAAAAAAGAAAAATACCGATTATCACTATCACCAAACATTATACATAAGCTAAAAGAGGCCAGGCGTGTGAGAAATAGTTATTATCGAGAGAGAAAGAATGCCTGTCAAAATGAAGAGACTCGTGTTCTTTTGAGAGTAATGGTGCAATAGACCTGAAAAAGTATTTTGGTCTCATCTGTCTTGTAACTATAAATCCAAGAGTCTACCATTTTCGAAACTTGCCAATTACAAAAGATGATCTAAGTATTCTTATCCGATCTCTCCTGTCACCAAGATGTCCATCTATGATTGAGTATTTAGAAAACGAAGACACTAAAATATATAATCAAATTTCAGCCTATTCAAAAACAATGAAAACAGCCAATAAATATTAGTGGAACTGTAACTCAAATTTTCTTCTCTCAAGTAACAATACCTCCAGTAAATATCTTCATGGATGGACAAAAGATAGAGATTGTGAAGTCATTTAAATACTTAGATTTTACTTGGGCTAGTAAGTTTTTATTAAAATCCAACCACTGACAAATGTGTGGAGAGCGTTCAGAAATCTCTTGGAAAATCGAAGTGCTTACCAACAGGAAAGTCATTATCAATCTCAGTATTACGAACATGCTTTTTTGCCTATACTTTTTCACATCTCTCCTGACTTTTTTCTTTTTCTGTCAAAAACTCATCAAGAAATATTGAAATGAAAGTTTTGAATTAGGATGAGACTCGTGCATCGGTATCCTTTTGTGTCAAAACGGAATTTATTCTCTCTGACGAATGAAGATCCACTCGATTTTTATGCTAAAAATTATACAGAAAAAAGATTGCAGCAAATACATAAATCTGGTCAAGGACGGTCTCTTCTCTATCTCGATGTATTTTTTTGGGATGATTTCAAGAAAAGTAAAGGAGATAATCTTGGCCATTTCTTTCAGACGAGAAGAGTGAAAAAATTGAAAGAGAGACGTGAAACTCTCCTGCTCAGGTCGATTGATTTTGTTGAGTAAACGCTTCTGTGTGTCTCTTTTATGTCTTCAATTTGCTCTTTTTTTTTGCTTTCTTCTGTTCTTCTTCTTTTTCGTATTCTTTTTTGTTATCTTTTCTTTAGTCCTGTTTCTTCTCATTTTTTTCTTTTTTTTTCATTCGTCTTCTGCCTCCTATTGTTGACAATGTCATATTGCAGACTACTGTCATATCGATGAAGTTGTACTAATGTTGCTTTAGGTTCCTTCTTGTTGAAATTGTTAATTTTTGTCATTTTTTTTCATATTCCTATGTAAGTACTTCTGAATGTGACAATGAGCAGCAAAATACAAAAAAAAATAGTCTATTTTAGGGGACAATCTCATAAGTTAACAATGAGTCTCTGTTCTTTCGAACGATGTCACGTTTGAAAATATATAGAGATCGATAGTGCGTAATTTTCGAGAAAGTTTCACGTTGATATCCACTTGTTCTATGACGCAGAGTTGATCACATTGGAATATTATGTAGTCAAGAAATGGCCTAGATCTAAGGAAAGAGACCATTTTTAAGTATGAAGAAAACAATGATGAAAACTATTCATTACAGAAAATTGAAGAGCCCTATAACTGTATCAAATTGAGTTTAAAAGTAAAATTTGTATAAGTTTATCTTAGAGCATCTTACAGAGCACAATGTCTATGAGTATTATATATATATTTCTTCATAGTTATAACCGGTATATGAATCCTTGGCACATCAAAATTTAAGGAAAACTTGATTTCTTGTATAACATTTGATGTGCCACAAATTGTTTCACAAAACTACACATATAGTATCCTAGTTCAAGAGAGGTTTCTAAATTTGGCAGATCCTTTAGCTAGTCAGCTTTTTCAAATTTGTTTTGGTTATCATATTTATTGTCGATTATATTTTAGCTGAAATAAATTATTGTCGTGCACCAAGAATCCAAAAATTGGTCAACCATTATTTGGATATTTTTCGATAACTAAATGGAGTTCCTCAATCTTTACAAGATTTCCAAAATTAAGAAATTATCAAACCATATTTTTTGATAGAATTTTCAAAATCTAAGCTATAAAAGAATGTTTGAAGCGTAAGAAAGATCCTATTGTTTAAATAAAGAAAATATTCTGAATTTTCATTCATGAAACATATTTCAATTCGTCAAATAATGATAGAATTCTTTTATATGCATCCAGTAGTCGATTATCAGGCGGCGTCATACTGTAATAGGATCGTATTAGTTAGAATTTTTGACGCTCCTGCTTATATATATAAGAGCAAAAGGTACGTCAAAAAATAATTTCGTTCTTCGATTACTCGTTGACACAACATATGACTAATTGATATTCATAGTCAATGAAGAGAGTAAAAGGGAGGAGTGAGATCATGAGTGACACCTGTTGTGAAGGAAACATTCAAAATAATGTTGCTTTCTTGTGAGTTTTGTCCATTTCTAACAACCTTCATTTCTAATGTCTTTCAATTCCTTATCTTACAAGAATTGGTTGCATTAAAAGTGCTGAGACATCAGAATAATGTTAAAGGGGACTAGCAATCACCCAAAACTGAGATAGATTGTTGAGAGCGTATGAAATACTTGTAAACTGTACACTTGTTCGCTTATTTGACACGGGAAAAGAATGAAATCTGCATCGAAAAACAAGGAGAATAAAGTAATTGAGGCAAATAACATAAGAAAATGTGAGGAACGATGTCATGAAACCATGAGTGAATTGAGTGGGGAACCAGGTGAGCTGTGCCAATGTTTACCATTATGTGTTTAATCCAAAGTACTTTCTTCTTTCTTGTTCATCTTCATCAATGCGTTTTTTTCAAACATATTCTTTCTGTTCATTATCATTCAGAGAATCATTTCTTTCACCAATAGTCTATACACCTTCATTATCTCTGTATCTAAACTGATTTATACGGCGGAAATAAAAAGATACTAGATTTTGGATCTGATGCATATGTCATTTGAGTTAGAGGAAGATGATTGATTTTGTGTGTGCGTTTTTCGTGATAATAAATTTGATGAGTTCAGGTCATTTTTTGTCGAATTCATTCTCGCCAAAAAATATACGAGTTGGAAAACTATGCTAAGATGAATTGACAGTATAGACAAACGTTTAGACTATCAATAAAATTGATCTTGAATAGTATGAGTCATCTTCTATGTTGCAAACAGATCCAACATTGGAGCATAGTGGACGTTTTCCAAAAGACTTAGTCTTCAGATCTCGAGAAAGATTTTCTTGAAAACTTCAACATTTTGTTATAGAGAGATTTAAAATAACAGTCTGAAACGAGGTTTTTTAATCAGTCTCTGTGAGAGTTTAGTTTTTTTTGGTAGTATACTGAGATACCATGAAACAATGTTTCTTACGTTATCGATAGATTTCTAAATGTATTATTTCGATTTCGAACTAAGAAAGTAGGAACCTAACTCGATAAAAGTTCTGCTTTTTGATTTCTGAGTAATTTCGGTTCAACGCAGAAAGACAACACCTAATCCAAATGAACTATTATTCTAATGCACACTTATACTTTAGAATTTTATATTATGTATTATTGAAATGAAAATGGCAAAAATCATCGAAGACAACTATTGACAAATGTGGCGAAAGATTAATACAAAACTGCCTCTTGCATTCTTCATAATCATTATGACAACTTGGTATTTCACCATTCGTTTACCGACTTGTCCCGATCGATCCTCTGCGATGCCTCTCGTTTCGTTACAACTGCCTGAGCCGAAAACTATAGTGTTCGAACAGTGGCAAATTCCAAATTGGGTCCAACGATTTAATGTCAGTCACTTATTCGATTGGACTTGGCATAAGAATGGCGACTTTAAACGTTGTCGAGCATCAATAGTTCAATCATCGCAATCATCAGCATGTAAGGCTGCATCAGCAATAGTTGTGAATGATGTTATCGATTATTTTCACTCTCATCCCAATGAAGGATGTATTGTAGACAATGTGGCTCGTCTGCCTAATTTGATTCCTCATCCATTACCTCGCGCTCGCTCTTTGACTGACACATGTTCTTCACTTCATATCGATCATAAATGGGTCATATGTAGTAAATCGCAGTCGGAACTCGATAAATGGCTTCCAGCAACGAAACGATTTGTAACTATCGCCGTATTCAATGCATTCATCGACACAGGTCATTGTCATTCAGAAGTACCGGGAACAGTTTTTACTGACCGTGCCACTTTTCATTTTCAACGATGGACCAACAAAAGATGCAGCAATGATTCCATCTCTAACATTCCACAAATCAAAAATGAATATCGACATATCGAATTAATCGACTCCATTGGAAATTATCTTCCAGCACCAGGACATTTTGCACCTCAGCAATTACCACGATTACTACGCTTGCTTGCTACTGTGCCAACAACAGCCAAAGTTCTTGTAGCAAAAGGTGGAGTTGCTGATCCATTGATTGATGTTCTTGTTGAGCGTGGTATAGTTACACGTGATCGCATTGTTCAATTTGATAAAGACATTCGTCCCAATTACTTTGCGAATATTGTTTATCGTAGTGATTCTTGGCCCTATTTGAGAGACAAAGACAATTCTCACTATATTCACGACCGAACAGATATGCAACTCGTTCATCGAGTTATGGCCACTGATAAACTAGCAGCAACTGACAAAAAAGATTGCATCATTCTCATAAAAAGAAGAGATGGAGATGCTCGATCAATTATTGAACATTTAGATCTGATTGCATTTATGTCATCAGCACTCAATAAATCTAAAATGTCGTCGGATCTTCGTATCGAAATCTTCGAAGCTCGAGGACATATTCGTGATCACATTGCATTGTTTCGTCGAGCTCGCATAATTGTTGGTCCTCATGGTGCTGGAATGATGAATATACTATGGTCATCACCAGAAACACATGTAGTTGAGATTGGATACACGACTGGAATGACTTTTCCTGAAATGTATGCTGAAATGAGCCTTCATTTGGAACATCACTATTGGATCTGTAAAGGTCATGGTGATTATTCCGCTCCCATTAACGTTGACATGGACGATTTCATGTATATTTTCAATCAAATCATGCATGAAATAGAAATAGAGAAAGCACGATCTTGATTATCATGGATTGTCCAGGTCTGGTCGTTTTTAAAGCTGACGCTTGCATTCATACATTAGACAGACTGAAAAAATATTTCAAATGGCTTTCAGGCTGAAGTCTAATTTTAAAATAAAATGAAAAAAGACAGACAAATGAGAACTCTGCAGTCTTCTGTTTAAAATCTATCATTTTTGAATGAAATAAAAAATATAGAAATTCATGAATTATAAGGCGTTGCTCATCTTTTATCCCACTTCAGCAATGAAAACTAATTAGTCCTCTCTTATTAGTTTTTTTTAGCAAAGAACCTATTAAATGTTCTTTGATAATGTCGAACTAACATTCTGATAAAGATCAACAGAAAAGAATAATCAGGATCACAAGTTGAATTGATTGAGTTAAAAGCATTACTATGTTTGAAATCATTGATTACTATTCAACATATGCTTTCAAAAAGGTCTCTTCATATAAGGAGATTTTTTTATAAGTGTTGTTTGTAATGAAATGAAATATCTTCATCCTCAACACTTTCTCTTCATCAGTCTAGTAATCGATCTGCTCCTGTTTGACCAGTCCCCATATATGTATCTCTTTTCTTCCCTCATAACCGGTACATTCGATTACTTCTCATCTTTCTTCCTCAAATCACTTCTATTTTCACTTTAATGAGTGAATACCTAGATCGAGAAATCCAATCATTGAATCTTGTTGGATTCTGACTTCATCTGATCGGATTGAACCCATATCCCAGTGACTCGAAAACCAACAAACATTTAACTAGGGAAAGATCTTATCGGATCCGACAAGATGATATCAGATTTTAATCAGCGATATATAGTTCCTCTCTTTCCTATTTACTATCATTTTTTTTAATATAATAAATCATTAGATTTACGACACCAATGGTAAAAATCTAGCGTCTACCCTTACTATTTCTTTACTAAGAACCAAACACGAGATAAACCTAGATATCGTTATTAAAAGGTAGTGCAAAGATATAACCATCCATGTCATCGAAGCTGTGTGAAAATCGACGATTTTCTCACGACTAATCACCTAAACTGATGGTCTTGTTTATGATTTTTGCAGAAAATCACGATTATTTAAATAATATTTACGATGATCGAATCTGACCGTAGCATTTGGATCTACAACTATTACTACATGTTGATATGAATACCACTGTCGCTTACCAATGTGCTCATTCAGATTTTTCTCGTAAAAGACGAGAGGGATGATTTCTTTCTTCCCATATGCAGTAAATAATGCAATTTTTTAAAAAAGTAATACTTACCGATCATTTTGTTGTTGACAAAGATCTAAATACAATAGAAAAATATTTATTTTTATCAAATAATATTTACCGTTTGTTGATATGTTGAAATGACCTTACTAAAAGAAAAAAAATATTTATTTTTATTAAATAATATTTACCATTGATTAAGATGTTCAAATGAGCTAGATGAAAGAAAAAAAAATATTTATTTTTATATAATAATACTTACAGTTGAAGTTTGTTGGAAAATCGCCAATTTATCGCGATTTATTGTACTATTCACAAGGTCAGTGATTAATTGCCGATTTTTTTCAAGTATCGCGACTGATCGTCAAACGTCACTCGATTTTGATAGCATGTGAATAGATAATAAATATACTTCACATTTCATATGCTACTTGTTTCTTGTCATTTATCTTTTTTTATTAATATTACAAATTTTCGATTGTAACTAAATAAAAACAGCAATAATATTATGTTTACTTAAATTTGCTTTAGTGTCGTAACCAAACTTTTGATATTGGAGGAACTTAAAATGACTGAGCTCTTCGGTGAAGAACTTAGATAGCCGGGCTCTATCTAATGGAGAAGGCTCGTTGACAGAGTTACGCTGGGTATGGGTGTGGGTTCGATGATGAGTAAAAATTTCGTATAAACTAGAAATGTATCGTGCTGTTCTTTGTATTCATAATATTCTAAATTGGACCGCATGTTGTCGCATTCAATATCACGTTATTACATCAAAGATCAATGAAAATAATTAATATAAAAATGATTTTACTGTTTAGAAAAAGGCAAAAAACGTCCTTTAGTTCCGCGAAAGTAGCACATACACTAGTTTGATCTCATCAGTATTGATTAACTGCCGCGAGACAAATACATAGAAGGATGCTTGCATTTGTTGCCCATTACACATATAACTAAACCATGTTTCAAGCATTTCTCTTCCTCTTAACTATCAGATCTTCATCCGTTACTGGCGCAACTTATCCAAACCAGACTTACACATTGAATCACTACTAAGAGAACTCAGATAAACATATTGCTATAGACAGCTGCTTTCGTTCATCTTTGAACTCCATATGCAATGTGTCCATTCAGTGTAATGTCAAACTGTACATTAGTGACTCGTTATGAAAATTTAATTCGATTATATGTGCCACTTTTGTCACTCCAGCGAGATGAAGCAGTCACGAAACTCGCCACGCTATTGATATGAGTGTTTTTTTATGGAAAGAACCATGCTTTCTACAATGATACATGTCTCAACGAATATCAACAACCGATAGAGGCCGAGTGTGTCATCAGTAAAATCAAGAGCAAATGACTACAATGTGAAGAGTACTTTACTACCGGAGATCTAATACATATCAATGATGGATGTAATCAGAGCTCAATCAACTACAATACTCTTTATGAAAATATTCAAAAAGAATGCTTAACCCTCAAATACTCCCCTAGGATCTGTTCGGATTCCATTAAAGCTAGTTTTAATGTTGTATACACCTGAAATGACTTCGGACGTTGGTTCACTAGATATGCTCTTACGATGTTTAGTAAAGTTCGTTGAAACCATCAGCTGATCATATCGTTTTAGTTTCTTAATGATAGAATGACTCGAAGTATAGGTGGCGCTTATTGTACTCATGAGGTCTGCTCGAACCTTAACCGGATCGTTTTAATGTTAAACATGCACTATTTATGATTTAACTTCATCTCGTTCTATAACTTCAATGTCCTTAGATGTGGCACTCTAATGGCATCTCTCAATGAAATACAACGCTTGTTAATATGATTGAATATCTTAGGGAAAAGTCATATTGATTTCCAACTACGATTTTTTTTCTGCTGCGTTTCACAATGTTTTGTATCGTTTTCCTACATCTGTCTTGGAAAGCTGAACTCTAAGTTTTTTAATCCTGCTTTGATTTTTCCTAATCTAATATCTATATCTTCATCAACAAAAGATTTAAAGCAACATTGTCAAGTTTCTACAAGAGAGCGCGATCGAAAATTTGCTACACGTTGTGCTAATTGCTATGCTTCTTGTTGTTTGGATTACCAAAAGGTTTTATGTGATACATGTTGTGACAGATTTTGATAATAAAAGAGAATAATAATAGAACAACAAAGAGAACGAATGTCTATAGACTAAACAACTATGTTTTTGTTCCTTGTACTCGCACTGAAATCTACTGCGAACTTCCAGTAGCTCCTGAATAGTATCCTGTTAATTTGGGATATTGCTTCTGTTTTATCAGACTGGGATCTGTATGGATCCCAGGGTACAATAAGCGCCCGTGCTACAGAAGTGCGTTTGAGGGTTAAAAGAAACTAATTTTGAAGAGAAAAAAATAGTAGATTTGTGTGTATCAACGTTACAATGCATTACTGAAATTTTTGTCCAGATTCTATTTTTGCGTTACTGACTTCTTCTTGTATAGATCACGGAGGAACGTTAGTTGCTTTATTCTCAATAAAAGCTCGAATTAATTTTTTTATAACGTATTCATACGACGAACAATGTACTTTAACATGCCTAGTTTTTCGTTCTCTTCAAACACAATTTAGGAGTAATACTGATAACAAACGTCTTTCATTTTTATTATCCTCTTTGATTTTTCTTGATATCTGTTACTATGTTTTCTTTCTTCAACAATCAAACTGGTGTATTGTGAAATTATTTATCTATTTCTTTTTTTCTTTTTATGACTCCTATCTCTAATAGACGAACTTATTGTGTCCGAATGAATTTGAGTCGAGAAAAAACTGACATCTACAGCATTTTCATTGAATAAATATTTTTACAGAATTCTCTGCTTTTTTCTACTTGTAAATTAAGATGTTGCTTTGAGTGTATCTCAGTCACTTTTTTACAATCTTCAAAATTATTTATCTGATATGTGGTGTTCATAGAAATAAGCGATACATACTCATATATCTCAAAAATGTTAATTTTCATCCAAGAAAAATTCAGATATCTTAATAGAAAATTTACTTGGTGGCAATATATTGTATGGTAGTGTGTATTATCAGTTAAAAATATCATATTATATATCTCTAGGTGAAAATCTGACGAATCGAAGCAAACTAACAAGAAAATACACCTGAGTTTCTTCTGTTCTAGAATCATCTTTGAATTATCTAATTCCGTTGACACCTATACTATAATCGCTATGATAGTTATATGAATTGCTTTGATTCACATTTTAGGAGGTTAAAAAAAAGGCATATTTTCGATTTTTCTCCTTAGGAAAGCCTTTTTCTATCCGTTTATCAACATTAATTATTTTATCATATTTATGTCATTCTATGGCGCGTTTCCTAGTGACTTCTTTGATGAAAATTCTCAAAATCTCTGGAAAGATATATTGTAATCAAGATTGTAAAAATTGAAGTATACGCAACATATTCAAGTGGTCTATTATGGTCTAACAAAACATTAAGTATAAATCAATAGCAGGAGCATTTTTATGTCTGCTATACTTTGACTTTTGCAATATTGACTGTGATATATCTTTCACAAAATTTTGAGAATCTTCAGCGAAGAAGTTTCTAAAGTACATATGCTAGAATGGTGTGAATATGATAGAATAATTAATATGGATTAATGAATAGAATAAGACTTTTGTAAAAAAAAGAATGCGTTTTTATACGAATAAAACGTATCATACAGAACGTGTTCTCGAACGATTTGTTTGCGTTTCTATTGGAAAACAGACCTGTTCCAATACATTTAAATAAATGCTTTTTAAGTCTAGTAAAAGCGTGCGAGTCGATAAAAAAAAATCAAATTCAGACGCAAACTTTTGCAAAACCTTTGTTGCATGATATGGTTCGGTGTGTACATCATGTAAAAAAGACAGATATCGATCGTGTTCTTTTATAATTTATTTGAAACTGATAAAAAACATACATTTTTTTTTATTGTTCGTAATTGATTCAATTACAATAAAGAAAATACATACTACTAAATCTCTTATCGGTATTTACTTGTGTATGTCCTTATCCGTCAACAACAATAGATCATCAATATGATACTTATAAAAGAGACTTATCTGTCGAAAAGGTGTATTTTTTTCACTTTTTTTATAAATCACAACTCAATATGGGCGGTCTCGAAAATAATAAGCGTATGTTTATCGCACTATGTATTGTTGGATTATTTGGAATAATCACAGTCGCCCTTACTGCTGCTACTCTTGGTACACTTAATAAACGATTCGATTCAATAGTTTCACCGCCGATATCAACAACAAACAAACCAAAGCTTAATTCAATTTTGGCTGAGACCATTCGAATCGAAGATCTCATGACTCACTTACGGCAATTGCAACGCATAGCCGATGAATATAATGGCACGCGAGCCATTAACACACGAGGATTCAACGAAACTGTGAACTACATTGAAAAATATTTAAAGGAACAAGGCAATGGCTTGAAAGTGATGAGGGAAACATTTCAAATACGAAACTTTGCTATTGCAACAGATCCAATCTTGCTGTCATTGATCAATGGTACAGAAAAAAATTATACCTATTCATCAAAGCTCGCTAGATCTGATTTTACCTATGTCACTTACTCCACTGCGGCTGACTTTCCCAATTATGTCCGTGTTATCAATATTCCAAATTTTGGTTGTGCAAAAAATGAATGGCAAAATGCAACAGATCTTGTTGCACTTGTCAAGGCAGGAGGTTCATGTACATACGCCGAGAAAGGAATTCTTGCTGGGAAAAATGGTGTCAGGGCATTACTCTTCTACAATGATGAGGAAGCAAATGCCAATCTTGCTCCAATAAGTGTACGTCTGCGTGAAACAAATAAATTACCAGCACTTTACTTATCTTATGCAGTTGGACAAGCTCTTGCTAATGCTACTATTTTTACTACAGTCATGGTCAAACTTTCGATTCAATTACAAAACTTAGGAACTTTTCCAGTGGATAATATTTGTGCTGATACTATACATGGAAACATAACTCAAACGATCGTTGTAGGAAGTCATAGTGATAGCGTTCCAGCTGGACCGGGCATTAATGACAATGGTAAGGGTTTCGTTTTGGTATTTAGAGAAATAAATGCTTTTTGATTTTTTTTTCAATGTTTGATCGACAAAGGAAGTTCAAGAAAACATTGATGATCATCCCACTTACATTTTGTTTAGGTAGTGGAACAGCAGCTAATCTTGTTTTGGCAGCAAACCTGGCTCGTCTATACCAAACAACGAACTATACGAAATACAAATATCGTGTTCGTTTCTGTTGGTGGGCTGCCGAAGAAATTGGTTTGGCTGGATCGAGTTATCATGTTCAACAGACTTACACTGCAACTACTCCAGGCGAACGTCGCACTGATTATTTGATTAATCTTAACTTTGATATGGCCGGTTCACCTAATTTCATTTTTGGAATCTATGATGCAAATACAGCATCCAATGCGACGCCACCACAGGCAATTCCTGGTAGCAAAAAAGTTACAGAATTATATCGTAATTGGTTCATTGGACAGAACTTGCCATGGGACTATAGAGCTTTTAACGGTCGCAGTGATTATGGCCCATTTCTAGAAGCATGTATAGCGGCTGGTGGTGTTGCAACAGGATCGGACGCTGCTAAAACGGCAGACCAACGTGAAAAGTATCGTCAATCTGTTGGAGAAAATAATGCTGGTTTCGCAGGAGCAATTCTTGATCCTTGTTATCATCAGCCATGTGATACTTTAGCAAATATCCATCAGTTCGGTTATGAAAAGCTGATTCAAGCAGCTGCGTATGGGCTTGAATATCTTGGCCAGCAACCAAACTTGCTGGAATGGCTATATCCGAATGGACAAGCATGTGAACTGTGATAAGATGATTATAATGCTTAAAATGACTTCTTCCGGTTAAAGTAGCATTCCATGAGAAAAACACTTTTTAATCAGTAAATAAAACTACTAACCTATCCAGTCAGACGAAATCGATAGAAAACATGTTAAAATGTGTGCTTTTTAGATTTTCGAAAAGCTTTTTTTTTGAAAAAGAAAGGGAGTCTGATGATGATGTTGTCCACAAACTTACTTTTTACAAAAGTAAAAATCGCACATTTTTACAGGTCAAAACATCTTATAATGAGCACTTTTTTGACTGGGTATTTTCATTAATAACTTATATGATATCTAGCAGGTCTTGTCTAACACCAGTAAAACATTTATCTTGATAATACTCTCCATTCGATCAGAGAGCAAAGTAAACACGATGAGATCAAACTTAAAATGTCTTTAGAATTTGATACAGATCAGCTCGAGCCACATAGAGCCAATGTCCTGAATTGTTTATGGATACACCAAATACTTTTTGTAATTTTTTTTAACTCGAAATTCCTATCAAAGAGCTTAAACAAGTCTGACAGATCACACAGTGTGCATTCTGTACGTATTCGATTAGAAAGAAAAACGTTGGATAATAATAATATCAAAAGTCAAAAATCAAAAAATTAAAAATGTCATGCTAAAATATCGAAAAACTATATAAAGTATTGTTTAGTTAGAGATAAAGAATTGAATATATTTATTTCATTTGTAATATTGATATCTATAAGAAAAAAAAAGTTCTTTTGCGAAGAACAATGGTGAAATACGGGAAGAGCTTGAATCAATGAATTAGCTAGAATCATGAAAGTTTTATATTTATTTATTTTCATTCCAACAGCATATAGAGAGAATATGATTGTGACTACGAGTGTGGAGGAAGAGAAGGTCAAGACTCACAATATCTACACTCACAGTCACATTCTAAGCGTTTTTATTCCTATATTACACTTCAGTAATTTCACACATGAGAACTATCATGAGAATATATGTTTCGACAATTTTAATTTCGATGTTAGTTGGAGAAATCGTGTTTTCATTCTACTTCGCTATTTTTCCCTTTCATGATATAGGTGATTATCCATAGCTAACGAAATTTTATATTGCAGCGAATACGGAAGTTTCACGCTGAATGGACGAGAGAATACAAAAAAGTAACAAAATCTTTTTCTCTTACCAACTGTATTGACAGCAAAATAAATGTGATACAGAACTTAGAAAAGGGATTCGAGAATTGAAACGAATTCGAAACCTCCTTCAGATTTCGTAGAAACATACTATGCCATTTAGAGATATTTTAAGACTTTAAAAGAAAACTCGAAAAACATGATATCAATCGAATTCTACTAAACACCATTTTAGTAAATAAAAAGCAGATGCCACGTTGCCTAGATCAGTATTAACAAAGTATTATATCTCTACTTATTATGCAATCACTGAGGAAATTTTCAAATTCCTCTCTCATATTATGATCATTAGCAATTATTAATAAAAAGTCATTGTCTATCAAATAGAAAGGACCAATATATGAATATTCTCATTATTTCTTGGAAACAAATCATCACACAAGCAACTTTATTAATAAGGTACACATCGATACCATGCTTATCTCTCTTCATTAATCATCTGATTCTGTCTGTCTACAAACTGATCTCTTAATCTATTGTAACCAATTCGAACATGATTCGGCGGACGAAAATTGTTCGGTGTATCTATATTATTGATTTATTCATCAGTTCACAATGTTCCTTAGTTTTGATGACACATTGCGGTTTTCATGATGAGTGCCAATTAGTTTATGATGCTTTCTCTAGTTTAAATAATAAACGTTACTTCCGATTCATTCAAGAGTTATTTTCATTTTTATAGTATAAAACACTGTGATACAAAAACCAAAGCTAATAATGATCGAAGTTAAACCATCTGAAAAAGTGGAAAACTTCTGTTTCCGCAAATAAAATAAATATGCAAAATATTTTTCTATTACGAGTCCTATTCAAATTTGCTATAGCGATTTCTTGATATTGAAATAGTTTTCTAGTGTTATGTTAATCTCCAGAAATTCTTAGACTTTACTAATAATCATCAGTTGAAAACTCTATGTTAGAGAGCACTCTCACAAATGTCAATCTTTATTGCTTTTTCTTTCTTCTTCGACTTTCTTTTGTATGTGTGTATGTATACGTCTATATCTTTCTTCTCTAATATACATATCCACTCTTGTACAGATCTAGGTCAATCTTTTTTCCTTTTTCTCTTATGTTTTCTTCGTTCTTTTCTGTCCGCGACAACTTATTGAAATATTCAGTCTTTGCTTCTGCTCTAAATTTAGTCTATGCTAAAGTAGCAAAGGCATGCCCATTACACTTATTCTTTTTTCTTCTGTATTTGCTTTTTCCTCTGTCTCCCCTTATCCTTAGTGTTTCTACTTTTTTCTTCTCTCTGATGTGCATGGATGTCTGTATCGAATGGTACATAGATAGCTGGAAGCTTTCTGAATAAATCAGTTGGTTAATCAGAAAACTTTTCTTATTTTTCTGACAAATATCGTTGTAGAGAGGGAACCTCTGTAACATTCTGACACACAAATTGTTCGAAATAAATGCTCTTTCCAACTCAAAATTGTTGAATTAGGAATGGAAGAGATGAAATATTTCACAGGTGTCATCAAATTTTCTGCTACCTGACAAATTATAATGGATTTTACAAAGTATTTTGGTACGTTCTCAAACATACATAAATATTTTTATCTATTCTTTTACTATTTTCTTGCAGAAGTTTGCTGCTTACTTTGAATTTCCAAAAACAGAAGTCAAATACTAACACCATAGAGCTGTTTCATTTAGACCTTATTAACTATCAATTATATTATTTCTCTTCTCTACTTCTCTGAAGCGCGAGGATGCATGAAAAATCAGACAAAAGAATTCTTTCGATTCTATTAAATGTATGCATTGTAATCATGTCACCCAAATTAAAAAACACTTTTCCTGTCAAGGATGTAAGCTTCCATGTCTTCGTTCTGCATCTTTACTCTACTTTTTTTCATCGCACAATCGCTCGTAGACTCTAATGATAGAATGCGCCAAGCTTATAAAAAAAAGCCATCCTTGTTGACCTTGATCTGGAGCGAAATGAAAAACAACACCCGATGATAACATTTTCTTATACATTCTAATTAGATATTTCTATATATGTATCAGTATTAGCTTTCTGGATATCATACAAAACGCTTGTTTACTATGATTTCAGCACCATGAATTTGATGTAGTATCTAGTGTCGTAAGATGACAATAAAAATATAATAATTACATCATCATTAATAAGAGACAGAAGAAAAGAGTAAATGCATCGAGGACTACTGACCATCGCTCCGAGAAATGCATCATATAATTTCGGCGTTCGAGCTGAAAATAATTGAACCATTCATTTTTCTCTATTTTAACGAAGCATAAATCAACGATGTAGCCCTTGGAATCGCAGCTGTCTATTCTTAAAAGTATCTTACTGTTGAAGAAAATGTAAAATAATTTTTTTTGACACTTTGAACAAGTGCACTAAGGATGAACTATGTTAAATTAAAATTTATTTTTATTAAAATGCCTAGAAGAATATATTGTTAGTCTTTTTTACAACAATAATCCTTGACTATGTGTATGTGAACATAAAATGATATTCTTGTATTTGTTTTTTAGATTAATATATATTTTAACGATATAATACATGGATAAAAACCAATCGATCGTTAATGTCGATGCAGAAAAAGTAACTACAGATTTGGCAAATTCAACTATATCCAATACAGCCAACGATCTGAAAGAAAATGCTGATGGTGAGTAATAAAGATTTTCATAGTATAATATTTCGATAACATCGACAATATCTCGACTTTCAATATATATAAATGAATACTATTACAAGTACACTGTAGTCCATAAATATGTTTGCGAGAAAAAGTTGAATATCTCCATTATGGAAGATAAACCAAAATTCTACTACAAAACAATGCATAAATACTTTGTGAACAGTTCAATCGACTAGTCTAAGTTCATATAATATCATTTTAAGTATATTCAAGTTTCGTAAACCATATATCATGTTGGACGATTTACTGTGCTGAAGAAATAAAAAAAATTCAACAAAGTTCATGTGGTTTATGAAAATGTATCGGCATCAAACGTTTTGACTATGAGAAAATTTCGTTCACTAGTATATTGAATTATGAGAGCTTCTAAAATATTTTGAATAATGTGTGGATTCTGTGCATTGAGATGATGATGAATACGAGAGTTTCTACACAACATTATTCCTGACATGTGATTCCAAGATAGGATCCACTTCGATGAACTTTACGTTTAATAGGCTTAGTCAAATTTGAATATTTTCTCGCAGATCACTTTTTACAAAAAAACTTTCCGAGTAGTCTCCTATGGAGTTGAAATACAATGGAGCTAGTGCTATCGCATGTAAAGATTTTTTATTTTCATTGCAATCTGTGACAGAATCATAGAAGCTTCTCGCTACATAATTTAACGCTCATTATCAAATATGTTTCAAAAAATATTATGAACCTAGAAAAAATAGATATAATAATATCTATCGAATACAATATACGTCTTCTATATAGTACCTACATTTCCGATGCCACGTACATTACCTTTACGTCCACCACCTGACTATGCAAGATTACGCAAAGAAAATCCGATTTCGAAGGCGAAAATATGGGATGGTAGTGTTGTTTGGTTGGTTACTCGTCATCATGACGTTTCAAAAGTTTTGACCGATCCACACTTCAGCAAAGTACGCACTCATCCTGGCTTTCCTGAAACTGGACCTGGAGGCAAAGCTGCAGCACATGCTGGTAAACCAACTTTTGTCGACATGGATCCTCCTGAACATACACGTCATCGAGGAATGGTCGAACAAGATTTTACAAAGAAAAAAGCAGAAGAAATGCGACCCAAAATTCAACAGATTGTTGATAAAATTCTTGATGAAAT